TAAAGAAATCTCGGTTTTGGTCAGTTCACCAGTTTGTACTTTGGACGACTCTGGATAGCTGAAAAGACAGCATATACACTGGAGATAGAACAACTATGCCAGGTAGCTCTTCGTATCTCGCTTCTGTTAACCTGTAGAGAAGTAAATCCAGATGACTTTTGTACTACTTTAATACGGGCATCCGTTCCATCCCTACATAGAGAGTGCTAGTGCACTCTTCGATAAAGTTTATTTTTTGGCTTACAGACAAATATCTTCAGCAGTTTGAGATGAAATCATAATCAGGCATATGGAAATAAACATTTTCAGCACAGTAACATTTTACCAGAAGATCCCATTGAAAATTGGTCATCAAAGGGAAATAATTCTAAAATAGTTTTACTTTCTAGCAAAAGCCCATATCAACAAGGGGAGGCCACTCTGCGCCAAAAAGCCATTATCTGCCACTTGCACAACATGGCACTCTGTCGTGACTGAGGTGATCTAATACACTTTGAATTTTGAAGATTGTGAGCTATTTGTCAAAATTTCTGGTTTTGATTTTATTGAACAGTTTAGGTAAGTCAAACCTGCTTTTTAATTCTTCATCAAATATTGATAATTAGCCCCTTCAAAACATCTATATTTCACCTTTAAAAGTGCTGGGGCCACAGCAACTGCACCTGCAACCTCAACAGTTATTTAAACTAGCATGTTTTGTTGCCAAGTTTACATACATTGATATAAAGTTGTTTAATTAAATTTTAAATGTAACTTTGACACTGTTGTACTTACAAGGTTAATTAAGAAATTATAATAACATTTTTATATCTGATATAATTATCACAAATATATCTTTCTGTAGTTTCTAACATCTGGATATTTTGAAAATCACTTACATAACTGTTTGACAAAAACTTGAAAAATCTGTAGGTACGTTAATTTTTTCAACAAACAATAACTCTTGAGATTTTCAGTATTATTAGACCTTATAAAGTTAATTTGTGGGAGAGATATTATTATCATTATTATTATTTACAGCAATTTAATTGAGCAACATCATACATTCTAGAACTATGAATTGAGTTCAAAAAGTTTGCTAGCCAAGAAAGGACAGTTATAGTGTAATCTTAGAATTTTTTGTATAATTAAAAAAAGCTGGAAATAGTTTGAAATTTAGGTCATTCAAACATTTGAACGTGTATTTGTAGCTTTATAAACTTTCAATACGTGTTCAGAACCATGGAAGTACGATTTGTTTCCAAGCTAAGATAAAGTTCAGAGGTGTTAATTAAGTTGATACTTTATAAATTATATTCAAGTAGTCTAAAAGAACATTTCTTTTATATTATTTTGGTATCAATGATTTTACTTTATAGAGTATAACCACTGTGTTAGCAGCAGGTAAATGAACAAGAACTTAATATAAGACTGCCCACTAAGATGAAGATAATTGTTGCCATTTTAACTACTGGCTCTTATATTTTTCAACACAATAAAAAACAGTATAACTTACGATATTCGATACACTAAAGCATCTTCATCATCTCCTGAAATAATACACAATCAATAAAATATCTATTAGTGAAGAAATGTCTAATTATATCAATGATATGACTTTTTTTTATGCTAGATTTTCAATACTGGACATTCTACTAACTTAGGAAACAATAACATTTTACATGTACTTCCTAGGTTGTATTTGCTTATTTTTAAATTGCTGCAAACAAAATTAAACCAAACTTCTTCACCAAACATATTTTGTACCTACAGAATAAAATAAAATGTACTGTGTTCAAATTTAATTTACTGAGTTGGGTGCCAACCAACAGTACATTTCATCTAACCATACTTATGAATAAAAAATATTTTAATCTGTAAGCCTCAGAAAATTCTTCATATATGTTAAACAAATATGAGGCAAGGTTTCTATTTCTTGTTACACTGAAATATGTAAATTTAAGTTTATTCACTGAGCAAATAAATCTTGTTTTTCACACTGTAATAATATAATTTATACACATTCAATACTTGTCAGCCAATTCCAAATAGAAAGACTATCATAAATTGATATTTTTTTACACTAGCAAAAATATTATCTGAGGAAAAAAGAAAGTACCATATATTTTGAGCTGTTTTTGAGAATAATGTCAGTAAACTTGAAAGTGTCATCCATAATGTTACTTAGATTATTTGTGTAATAAAAAACACAACAAAATGTTCATTAAAGATTCTACACTCAGAAGGTCTTCCTAAAATATTTTAGTATTATGTCTAATTTCAATGGAAAAAAATGTAAAAATTAAATTTGAATTAATAGATTTAAAACCATTAAAAAAAAGAGATGGGTGATTAGTGGAATTTACTAACTGATTAATTGATTATAACCAACTAATTATTATTTTTACATGAGACATAATTAGAAATCCAAATAGCAATATCTAATGAAAGAAACTTTATTAAGAAATAAAATAGTTTGGCAAAATACTTAATAATTAGAAATTAGTTCTACTTCATATACATTATTAAAAGTAATTTTATAAATTCAGTTGGATGCATTACCAAAACTAACTGGTTACAGTACTTACGAGTTGTATACGTACAATTTAAAATGTTTATAATAGCCTTCTACTCACCAGAATAAAGTTCTTCTCTCTTTTTTCGAAAAGTAGATATAAGAGCATATGAAGAGAGGCATAATATCAAGAAGAAAAGCAAGAAAATCTACAAATAAGAAACAAATCATATTATAATACGATTTTAAAATAACTAATGTTTCTTGTTTGTAACTATTAAATGATCTTAAAGTTTCTGTATATTCACCATGTAAATGATTATAAAAGAAGACATATGTACCAAATTTGTGTGTTTCCTTTCAGAATACTGTCTTATATGCAATACTTTTATTTTCAAAATTAAAAAACTCAATGGAATTTACTATTACTGTATAGGTTTAGGTGATTTTTAAATAATGAAAATAACAGAAAAATTCACACACCATTGGATTTCACAGTCACAAATTAGTAGATTTACACTGCAAGTTCAATCACTTAGTTCATGATTAATGAAAAACAATTAAAAATTGTACCTGTAAATCGACTTTTCACTCCACGCTACCTTCCCATTGGAACGATGGTAACAAAATGTCAGTGATTTATTGCTTTACTTGGTAACCCGATACTGTGTGACACTCATGTTAAGGCAAAATAAAATGTGGTCCCATTAACGTCCATCCATTTCAAACTCATACATTTGTATTCACATTAGATGGATAAATAAAATGAAAATTGTTGATAACCAAATGCTAATAATGAAGTATGATGTTACCTATGTACCAGTGAAAGAACAGGCGAGATTTTGTAATCACACTGGTTGTAAGCTTGAAATACCGTGATTGACAGGTATTTGTCAGTAGTAACCTCTACCCATTCTACATAATGTCATGATGTAATTGATACATCCTTTGTAGCCACACCCAATGATATGACGTATAGCAAACTGTTGTCAGGACAACATAGTCTACTTAAGACTGACAACATGACATAAAGCAACATGTTGCCAGGGCAACATATAAGCTGTTTACAATCCCCATTTATCATTTTTTTACATGCTGTCGGTTCAATTTGGGCAGACATATCTATGTATCGGTTTATGCATTATGTAGTCCACAACCCCAAGTTTATTGTGTACCTTTGTTTCTATCAATTCAATGACCAATTTTAAATGGTTTTAAAGTTTTATTTGTGTGTTTATAAATAGTAACTGCTTCTGGATCCAATGAAACTTGCCAGACCAAATTAGAACATAAAGAGAGCTATCGTTTGATGTATCAATTCAAACCAACACCCTGGTTTTAGTTTTTACACTTTCTTGCTAGTCGTTGAGAAATGGTGGACGACGGGTTTAGCGATCTTCACAATGTTTTTCAAAGCCGAGTTAAAACTAGTGGGAGTACGGTTGCCTTGAAATAAATCATGCAAATTCAAAGTGTATTAGTGCTGTAGACATTTTCTATTTGTTGTTTGGTGTACAATAATTAATATTTTATTTATGTGAGACATATATTCACAACTGCAATTTCACATTCACATGCTTCCATGGCCAGGAACTATAATTCTCTGGAACTCACTACTCTTAGTCTTAGTAAACATAAAATACATTCTTTAAGACAGAAAGTACTTTTTTAAGTTGCCTTCAGATTTAGTAGATACAGTTAATTTAAGGGGGTTTAAGTGAAAGCTTGACAAATATTTGAATGATAAGGGCTGGCTTTGAGTTTTTTTTAGTGTTTAGTTTAATTTAGTGGATAGGATGGTGAAGACGGACCAAAAGGTTCTTATTGTTCTTTAATATTATGTTGCAACAAAATTTATCATCTAGTTGGTGATTAATAGTTCCAATTTGAGGCCATCCACACAATTAGATATTTCAAGTAAATTCTACCGAATCTAATGAATTCAGTGTACCTAGAAAATTCTTTAATCAATTTTTTTTTTAATGAAACAAAAATTTTTGAAGCTTGATACCACACAAGAACAATAAAAAGATCATTAAATATCAAAACACTCCCATAGTGCTGAAATTTGTTAACAATATGCTATACTTTATAAGGTCAGAATATTTGCTAAGATTACGTTTTTACTTTGTTGCTCACTAAAAAGTTGACAGCACTTGATTAAGTACTCCAAATGATTTATTTATAGAAAATTGGCACTTAAAAATATCTTAATTCAATGTTAAAATACATACATAAAACTATATTATTTTTGTGTGTGTGTGTGCATACTAAAGTATCTAAAGACTTGTAAATATGGATGTTGCAGACTGACTACTGGTACTAGTAGTGAAGCAATAATTAATTTTAGGCCTAAGAAGAATGATCAATATCACACTTGATTATTTTCTTCACTTTCTTCTTAGTCCTTTTCATATTATGAAATAAGCATTTCAGATATAGCTTTTATCTGTCACAAACTACTTCACAGCTCTTTTACTCAATACCAAACTCATTACCTGAGCTGGAACTATTGCAGCCAAAAATAAATATGAAATTATTTTTGTATGCAATACAAATCTTGTTAATGCCATGATTGAAAATCACTAAGCTGACAATCAGATAAGTTTTTTGTGATGAATTAAGCCATTTTTCAATAGAATAAATGAATTCTAAAAAATCTTTTAAATAATGGCAAAACTACAGGGAAAATATGTACATAAAGGTTATAAACAAAAATATTAACATTTCAAGCACAAAAATTGTTTCTTAGTTTACATACAATAAATGTACTAATTCTATTGTAAACAGGTTTTAAAAGAGTTTGATAATTTTCAATGAGAGCATTAATTGCATATGCCATTTGTTGATACTTTTGAAAATTTGATTTATTTGTGGATCAGTACACAGCAAGGTACAAGTTGTAGTACAACTGCTAGTGAATACAAGTTTCTAATTTTTTATTGATATAGTTCCCATTCATATTAATTAAATGATTAATCAAAACATAATACATTATACGATTGTATGCCATATGATTAAGAGCCATCCAAGGGTGATCCTTTCCACATTTAATTATTGCACTACGGAAAACCAAGTCACCATAGAAATAAACGCATTTTATGTAACTAATGAAAAAAGGCCTATCTTCAACAGTTCAAGAACCATTACTAATCGTTTGGAAATTAAATTTGTACAATTTTTTTGTTCCAGGGAAAAGGGAGGGTATGTTTTTCTAAGCATCATGAACAGTTACGAGTTAGGCTTACGTCAACATAAAATTAAAAAAATATAACTACGAATTTCCTTGTAACAATAATCAAGTTTATGCAAACGTTTGTTGTTACGAGAATAATATATATGAGCAATGTACAGTCACGTATACTACAAGTAAGGTTCACTTAAGTTATAAGTCTATTCTAAACAGTTAGTCTTAGATTAACGCTGAACACGTTACTTCGACGTCTTTAGTAAATATATTTATACACCACCATACCACATATTCTCTGACTGCATCATGGAATAATTTCTCTCGTAGTTCTGTGTCTTCTTCCATTGATTCCAGTTGTTTCTTATAGTATGACATACAAAATGAAAGAAAACGTGAAAATAAATACCTCATAATAAACTACTGGTTAACGTAAAACAATAGAAAAAAATTCATAAATTGACTACTTCACGTTCAAAGTCGACCCCATTACTGTCATTATATTAACTTTCAAGGTCCACTAGAGGGCTGCGAGTAATTCTTTATTAGTCTAATCCACAAAAGGTTTCTTTGTGAAAACAGTCAACTTGAAAGAATTTACCATAGTTAATAACTTTGATATCCAAAAAAGAAACCGTGATTTACCTTGTTCTTCAATGGTGAATTAAATATTTGTATATTATTTATTTAGGTAATCAATAAAATGTTTTACTTGGACTAGTGGCATAACTACAAAAATGCCCCTTCCCGCATAAAATGTCCCTCGATGGTACAGTGGTAAATTTACGGAGTTACAATGCTAAAATACGGGGTTCGATTTCCCACAGTGGGCACAGCAGATAGCTCAATGTGACTTTTCTCTAAAACATACATACATACTAGCATAAAAAGTAACTGGGTCCTCTATATTTATTTCCCTATAATTGTAGTTATGATTCGCACACCCTTTTGGTTGAAGGTAATGTCGGATTAACCTGCGCGAGGGCCATAGGCAAAAAAAAAAAGAAAAAAAAGAATAATGTTTGGCGCAGAGCCCCATGAGTATATTGTCTGAAATCAAGGATATTTACCTTATCGATTGGCTCTATCGATAATGCAAGCTATCTACGATAATATAATAGATAATATGAAATCGAAGGCAGTCGTCACGTGACGACAACGACATTTTGCCACAGTGTTACCATATTTGTTGCATTGTAAAGTTTGACTAAGCAAAAAACAGGTAAGGTGATTGTAAATTGAAAAGTCAATATGCAATCCGGACTTCTCTGATAAAGGCCTTTCTAACGATATGAAATTTGTAGCGTTTGATCGAGAAATTTGCGAGAAAGTTTCGGACAGACAAACACAAGCGTATTATTTAAATATATTTCAATCGCTTTACTTACAGTGTCTTGAGAGCGTTACATTGTATGGCATTTTTGCATAATTACTAATCAGTCACTAGCTTACGTGATTAGAGTTTCTGAATTAATCGTAGTTACGAGTCATATATTAAAAATCCGGGGTTCAATTCATAGTGGTGGACTCAGCAGTAAACCAAATGTGGCATTATTCTTAAAAAAACCGTTTCACAATAATAATCTCTAATATTTACAACGTTTTTCATTACTGTATAATTATTTTTACAGTCGAATGCTTCGATTACTCATCAAAAATTTCAATGTCCACTAGAGGGCTGTCTATCTACCATAAGTAGACACTCTTCGATTTTTTTTAAGATGAAACCGATAAATGGTTGATTTATTTTATAGATATATATAATATTAGACACTAGCATTTCAGGTTAGTAAAACACCATAAATAATTAAAGTAAATACTCTCTCAGTACAACTGAAAAAACTTGTTTATTATTGGACAAAGAGAGTGAACTCATAATTTAGGAAACAAAAAATATTGGTATTAGATTAACTGAAGTTAACAATAGTTAGCCGATTATTCTTAGATGAGAATGACGAGAAAATAAATAATATAATAAACAAAACATTAAATAAAATGATATCTTCAGAAACAAATACAACGGACATTATAATTGATTGCACAGTAATTAATAAAGTTTGAATTGATATCTAATACCTGTAGTAACCATTACATACTAATTAGATCATGAATATGTATATTATTACTAGTATGTTTTGCTGGTGGCATGAGTCTATTTTGGTAGATGTGCTTGATTCCAGTTAGTGGCCAACATAAGCTGGAAACAAAAGCATGTTCAAAAATGTTAATATTTTTATAATCAGTAAGAAAATCTACAACAAGCTGGATGTTTGTAATTAAGCACAAAACTACCCAAAGGCCGTCTGTGCTCTGCCCACCACGGGTATCGAAACCAAGTTTCTAGCGTTGCAAGTCCGCAGAAATGCCGCTGTGCCACTGAGAGATTCTACAACAAGATAATTTCAAATATCTTACAGAGTAATGTACTCGGAAAATACATAATTGTAATATATGTTAGGTTTACTTCAGTTGGATTAAAACAATCTTAATGTTATTTGTTATAAAGCCATCTTAAAATAAAGATAACATATACACGACAATTAGAAGTTTAAACATAAGTTAGAAAAGATACAACTATATAACAGAACACATATAAATTTTATGTTCAAACTGTACATTGAATAAGATTTAACATATTTTGGGGGTTTATGTATTTTTTCTCTATTAAGAATATCAATATTATCATGTTGGAATGAATTATCATGCTTGGAAATATGTTCATAAAAATGGGAGGTGTTTTTGTTATGTATTCAACACGGGTAGGGACTTGTCTATGGGTTTCTCCAATGTAAAACTTATCTGATTTTTCATCATTTATTTGATACACGGAATCTGAAGTATCATAATTTTGGTTCGTATTTGATAAAAGCTGCCCCAATTTCCTCTGAAAAAGGAACACACATTTTATAGATTAATTAATCAGAGATTTTTCAATAATTTTTCCCCAATACTTTCTGATTGAATATGATACCTTTGAGATAAAATAAATTGTGTAAAAATATAGGACGTTCACTAATACTATACTTGTGCTTAGGCTTTACTTCGGATTTTTATATAGTGTAGAAAAGATTTGGTTAACGGCTTCCAGAGGAAAGCAGTTTTAGGTTCATAATCATGTTTTTCTTATGTTGAAAATATTCGTTACTGGAGCAATCTCAAGAGAGTTTTTCCGATACCTAATTTTTGAAAATGGTCATGATAGGAGTTCCAAGGTAAGTAGAAAACGTGTAGAACTTATCATTCTGTTTTTTAACCAGAACATTCAGGAAAGGAAGTATATAGCTTTCTTCATTTTATATGGCAACGTTAATGTCATGGTGGATAAAGTTCATGTGTAAAAATAACTCTTCGATACATGAAGAAGCGTGGAAGTCAGCGAAATTATCATCATCATATCACCTCAGAAAACTGGTGGATGAAGGGACATGAAAATAGCTTCACTTTCAATTCTGATTATAAGTATGTTGGCATGAATGACAGCAATGGGATTCCGCCTACTTAATCTCTCAATGTGATCATAATTGAAACTTTCGAATTGAAATTCGTTACAGGAAACGATGAAATGGAGACAGTTTTTAATAATTTCTCAAGAAAGAGAAGATCTAGGAAAAATACGGTTTATGAATAAATAAAGGGTGCATACAATTCAATGCTTCTGAAACCGGAACTTGTGTGAACACGCTATTAACGTCGAAACTGATGATAATAGCGAATCAGTCGAAAGATTTTAGCTTTATCACAAATTCTTCTGAAATTTTGACAAAAATAAAGTGAAAATATTTAGCTTAGTTAAAGGCTTCATAGGCAGAGCCGTTGAGTAGTAGAGGCAAGACCATACATTGGTGATCATAGGCAGAGACGTTGAGTAGTAGAGAAAAGACCATACATTGGTGAAGTTCTGGAATCAAATTGTTTGAGAAATTTATATCGATCATTTGAAAGCAGCCCCTTTTTAACTGTAATAAAAAAGTGTAGAGTTTCATTTCTCAGGTAGGTGTTAAGTTTGTGTTAGGTGAGGGGAAGTGAGTCTAGTCATGGGGATTTCGTTGTTTTGTGAGATGTCAGAAGGATCCATGAATTCACCTCTATGTGCTGTTAACAAATTTTTGGTTATTCCTTCTTAGGGATTCCAGGAGGTTTCAAGTGCAGTTTAATTTTATGAGATTTGTTGATTTTGGTTTGAGCTGTAGCCGAAAAAAGATTGAATAATTTAAAAATGGGGGTTATTTAGAGCAATATGTAGGAAGGAAGCTACATGATATGTTTTAATAATAAAATTGGGTATTTCAATGAAACTAGATAGAGGGCTAAAAAAATCATAAATAATATTCAACGTTAAACTGATACACAATTCTAAACATTTTATTTAGGCCTATCTATGGCCTTCAAAAAGTTGACGACTCTACATGTTTCGACGTTACAACTCAGACTCCTGAGGATGACGTTGTA